GTGGTCCAAGATGGACCGGGCGCATCCTTGCTGATGGGCAGCCTTGGGTGGGAGATGATGCAGGAGATAAGGGTTCACATGTGGGGGTGAGGGGTGCAGGTCTGGGTGCTGGGCTGAGTGCTGTAGAAGAGCGATTGGCACTGCTCCATCCCCACCCCATTCCTTTCACTGCAATCCCTTAATTGTTTTGGGGAGAGAGGAAAAAAAAAAAAAAAAATCACATGACAAAATACAGGGAGATAATTACAGTCAATTGCCTTCCTCTTATCTCCAGGGAGAGCACGTATGGCAAATAAAGCCCAGGGAATTAATGCTGGTGTTGACCGAGGCTCCCCGGTCCAGGCAGTGAATGGCAGGAGGGGCTGATTTACTGCCACTCTTTGCAGCTATATTCGGTGTTTTATTGCAACTCTAATTACTGCTCCCGTCAGGATCTCGCAGTTCCCTTTGCCACATGCAGAGGATGGAGCAGCCCTGGTCACAGCAATGCTCTGCACTCTCCCTGTCCTGCCCTGCCATGGTGCCATGCCCACAGGAACGTGTGGCTGGTTGGGTTCACTTGGCTGCCTCCCCAGACAGTGGGAGCTGGGGGAAACGAGGCTGCAAGGTGCATCCCTGGGTGCAAATATCCCAAGGACACGGTGCTTTCAGCAGAGCAGGGCTGGGGGAGATGGTGATGGGCAGAAAGATCTCACCTGGGCAAGGCAGAACCCACCCCTAGGATGTTCCATCTTCGGGATACAGCATGAAGATGTTGGAGCATGGGGACAACTGGGGAGTGCACGCCAACTCTAGCAGCCCCCTGTCCCCAAGCAGCCCCGTATCCCCAGCATCCCCTGGTCCCCAGCAGCCACTCATTCTCATGCAAAGCCTGTAAGGAGGAGAGAAGGCACCCAGCCACTGGGGAGCAAAGACGGGCAATGAAGTAATCCTCCCCCAGCACTCGGAGCACATAAAGCACCGTGGAGCACAAGTGCCTCTCTGTCCCCTCTCTTTCTTCTCTTTCCCTTTAATGCTCTCACTCCTTTGTCCCCATGCATTTGCTCCTGGTGCTGCTGGTCCCTTTGGGCTGCTCTCTGGCTGCCCATCCCCACAGGACCCTCTGTGTCTCCCACTGAGGTGCTCCCGGTGCCACCTGTTTTCTCCCTTTCCTTTTCTAGGACACCTGATTTATTTATTTTCTTTATTACTATTATTATTATTTTGCCACTGGTTTAGGGTCTATTAAGTTTACTCCTTCTTCCCCTTGCCCTGGGAGACCTGGTTAATGAGTAACCATAGCGTGCTTGGAGGCAGCTGTCTCAGACAAACTGACGGAGACTTTTTTGGAGCTGCATAAGGGAACGTTTGTTCTGCAGCTTCTCAATAGATCCTTGTGCAGGAGGCAAAAAGTGTGGGGAGAGAAAGAAAGAGACACTAAATCACGGGGCTCCTTGAAAATCTCGCTCAGTGTGTGTGTGTGGTTTTATTCCTCGTTATAATGGATGTTCAGTGAGTCACCTTTTCGAGCTCAAATCACGAATTTCTCTGGCAGAGAGCGCAATGTACTTCTAACAGCATTTCAGCCTTAAAGGTCTTATAAATTAAATTAAATACAAAACACAGCCCATAGATACGCTGGCACGGGGTCAGCATCGCATGGGTTGGTGTTCTTTGCCCCACTCCCTGTGTGGATTTGGCCTCGTGTTCCACCCAGACCCTCCCATCACTTCCATAGGGGGGCATTTGGGAGCTGAGGTTGCTGGGGTCAATCAGACCCTCACCGTCCCTGTGTTGGGATGCCCAGGTGGGAGCTGGAGGATCACTGTGCCACAGGGCTGCTGCGTGCCCTTGGGAACAGCATTTAAACAGCTCTTCCCTGCCTGGGCTTTGTCACTGTGCAAACAGGTGACGGCTGTGTCCTTTGTCCCACAGCCTTTCTTGGAGGTGGAAGGGATGTTGAGTGTGCAGAACTCACAGCAGCTGCTCTGGCATCGCTCCCTCTTCCAATGGCTCCTTCATTTCCCAGACACCCACGTTTGCTATCAGCGATGATTTTCCCCCTCTCCCTCCCAGCTCTGTGCACAGAACCCATTGATGCTCCTCTTGTGGTCACCCAGAAACAGGGAGAAAACCAAACCCACGTCACAGCACTTTGTTACAAAACCTCAAGTTGTTTTATTTTATTTTATTTTATTTCTTGAACTTTGGGGTTGGTTCAAGTTTTGGGCAACGATTCAGGTTGTTTTTGTTTTACCTGAAATGCAGCTCGCCGTTCCCTGGAGCAAAAGCTCTTTATTGGCCCTCACAGACATTTGGCACTCTCGGCGAATGAAATAAAAAGCTTTTTGTTCCCATATTTCAATATATCACTATATACTTAGCCCATGTGGGGAGGGTATCTGGAGGGCAGAGGACTTGCAGAGGTTTCAGAGCGCGTGTCTGATGGGAGCTCATTCCCACACCTCCCTTCCCATTTCCCCTTCATTTAATCCATGCTGTGCCCATCTCTAACCGCCCTCCCCATGTGATGCTGGTGCTCTGTCAGCCCTGTAGTGCTGCAGCCCCAAAGCCAGGCTGAGAGCACAGAGCACCATATGCATCCCCAGCCAAAATCCCTCCTCTCCCCATCTGCACAGAGGATTTCCTGCTCTTAAAAGCTCTCACAAACAACTCCCAGCCCCACGGATGGAGGCTGCAGGTTGCACTGATCCATGTTCTGCAGCTGTGGGGCCAAACCCCTCCCTCCTTCCTCAGGTGCCCTGCAAGGATAAAGGATGCTTTCAGCTGGGAAAGCACTGGTCTGCTGTGACTTGGGAACATCTGGCTGACATTCTGAAGCCTGCAGGCTCTCATGTAATGATCCTCATTCCCTGACCTGCAGCATTTTATCTCTCTCTATGGTGACTCCACTCCCTGCCCACACCACCCGTGCAGGGCACTGTTCTAATTAAACCTCAAGGCTTTGCTCCCTTCTCCCCTCCCCATCCCAGCAGCTGCTGAGGAATGCAGGGCAGGAATGCTGTCCTCTCACAAGGAGCTGGGAAGGGGAGGTGGTGGCTCTCCCATAAAACAATGTCTTTGTGTTGGCAGGATCACAGGAACGCAGGGCCCTGTTTCACGCTCCAGCCCTGCTGGGTGCTGGCTCACCTGGCAGCAGCACACAGCATTCAGCATCTCCCAAACCTTTTGCACTTACTTCACACTCTTGTAAAACTGGAGTTGGGATCCTCCAATAAATCAAAGCCAAGCTCTGCTGCAAGCAAGTTGCTCACCTCTGTGCCAGCCCTGTGCTCAGAGCTGCATGGAGCTGGGTGGGCTGTGAGCAGAGCCTTGCCCATGTTTTACAGTGCATTGCTCCATTAGAGTGCATCACTCTTGTCACAGTGCATCACCCTGCTACAGTGCTTTGCCCTGTTACAGCATACTGCTCTATTCCAGTGCTTCACCCTATTTCAGTGCATCGTGTGTCCTGTACGCATGCTTCTGGAGGCAACAACAGCAGAAAAGGAAGCAAAGCTTCCCAGTGAAGCTACCAAAATGGCAACTTGCCTGGAGAAATCCAGAGCCATCTGAGCAGGTGGTTCTGTGCCACCAAGCTCTTGGTCTTCCTGCTGATGTTGGCCCTTCAAAGACACAGCTCCAGTTGAGAAGCCTTCTCATGGACTCCAGAGGACGTTGGGCACTCATCCTGCCTGTGGGCACCATATGAAGTGCTCCCAGCACATCCTGCCCAGCTTGATGTTACTTTGCTCCAGTTCTGGCTCTGTCTTTCTGTGCATATAGGACCAGGGCTGCCCCATGAGCAGGGCTGAGCAGGGCAACAGGAAGGGACACCTGGGGGCTACAGGGGCTGCTGCAGTGCCACGCATAGGAGCTTTTCCCAGCACTGCTCCTTGCTGCTGGTTGCACTCCGCTGCTTGCCAAACAGGTTTTAATTTAGAGAATGCGAGGAAGAAAAAGCAGCACAACCCCTCCTCCACAGCATTAAAATTTATATATATTTTCCTTTTAATATACCATAAACGATGACCTTTTACCTCCCTCAGAACGCAGCCAACACAAGCACAACAATGTGATTTGTGCAGCATTTCAGCTGCGGTTTCTTCAAGAAATTCATCTGGTCTCCAAGCAATTAAGGGAAGGGAAGCATTTCCACTCCAGCTTTGGGCCCTGAAAATCTGCCAGGAGGTTTTCCCCCTCCCTTTTCTCGTCCTCTTTCTCCCTCAGCCCCTTGCTCACTTGTCCTACAACACTCCTGCGGTTTCACTGCTGTGGTTTCCCTCCTGCAGCAGAGGATGCAGCCCTTTGCAGTGCAGGTGGGACGTTGGCTCCCAGCCCCTGTGCAGCCACTGGCTGGGAGATGGCTCACCCAGATCAAGCCTAATGGGATTTGGGGGAGCATATGGTCACCCCTCCCCCCCCCCCCAACCAACACCTTCTGTACTCTTCACCCTCTCCTTTGCCTAAAATTTGTCTGCAAAAGGGCTGTGCAAAGCTGTTTGTCCTCCCATTGCCACCTGCCTTCTTGAGGTCTCCTTTGGGGTATTCTCCTGTACAAAAACGGGGACTGAAGTAAAAGTGGTTGGGGGGGAGCACAGAGCAGAGGGGAGATGCGTGGGGAAGGATCAGTCCCACGAGGGCATACAGGACAGGCTTTGCCTGCATGGAGCACGCTCACAAGGATGGGCCTTAAATCAGCCTGCACGTCAACAGTACAGTTAATTGCTCATTCATCCCACAGACGGGTTAATCATTAATTTAAATTAATAATTGGGCCAATCATTAAACTAAACAATAACTAATACACGGGACAATTGAAACGATCACTCTCGGTGCTGAGAGCTCGCCGGCGTTACTCATTGACCCGCAGTTTATGGGATGGATCCGCCAGGGGACGGAACGCGGTTCCACCCCCCCTCCCCGGACGCACGCATAGACGGAGGGAGGGAGGGAGGAACGGGGGGAGGCGGCTCCCGGCCCGGGGGAGGAACTACAAGTCCCGTGAAGCCGCACCGCCCGCCCGCCCGCCGCCAGCGGGGCTTTATAAGCGGGGAAATGGCCCGAACGCCGCAGTCGGAGCATCTGTGGGCGCGGTGGTGCGGGCTCTGTTCGGGCACGGAGCGGTAGCGATGCCGGACCGATTCCCCCCTCCACCCGCATCTCCCCCCTCGACCATCTCGGGATCGTCCCCTCCGGGAGATGTGAGCGCGGATGATGGTGGTGGGGTGATGCGGCGGCTGGGAGGCGGCCCGCTGAGGTAGGCTTCTCGCTTGGGGTCGGGGGAGGGGAGAGTGGGGCGTCGGAGGAGGTCCCGGGCATCTCCTCGGTGGTGCCCACTGCCCCTCCGATGGGCTCCGGCCCTGGCTCAGCCGCCTTTGTGTCCGGGTGGCTTTGGGGTCTGCGGCTGGGGGATGCTCCGAGGCTGGGAGCCAAGGGGCTGGGCTGGCAAGGATCTCTGTAAGAAAAACCATGACGGTATTTTTATTTTTATTTTTTTTTTAAATGTTTTTAAAAGACTTTATAATTTTTATCTTATGACTTCTCCCTTTCCCACCCGTGGGAGAGCCTCTGTAGAAAGGGTCTATGCTACAGAGGGGCTGTGGGCAGGTGCCTGGGTGGGGTAAAGGGAGGCCCTGAGGAGCCTCAATTCCCCCTTCCCCGCCTCTATTGGGGACCCAGAGCTCTCCTCACCTTCTCGTGCTGTATACACGGAACTGGGAACACTTGATGAGGGTGGGTGATGCGAGGTATCTGTGATGCACAAGAGCACTTTTGTGTGAACGCTGGAAAAAACATGAATGAGTCCCTTCTCTTGCTCACTACAACAAAAAGACCACACCGGTCTAGACCTGCAACCAATAACACACAAATTAGTGCTGTCTGCTCTTGGGGATGCAGTGCACTGAGGACAACGCCAGCCCTTCCTGTTGGAGCCCACTGATCTGTATGGAGGGTGAGGGATATGTTTGGGGAGAGGATTTTTGAGGTTACTTTGATATAAACAAGAGGAGCTTTTATTGCCCAGACATTGTTAGTGTTGATCTTTGCTGGATTGGAATGCATTTCCTCTGAAGGGTTTTGAAATGGGAGGAATTGCTCTGCTCTCCTGCTAATTGAGACATCTTTTTATAATCGCAGTCCCAGCTGGTGGGATGGAAGCAGGGGGGAGAGGGGAGCTGCTGAGTAGTGACTCAGGCATGGGGAAATGCTGCCTGCTTTTAGAAGGGCAGCTTTCAGCTTAGAGGTGTATGTGAGGGCGCCTTCCTCCTCCCCAGTTTGTTCTGTGCTGTCAGACAGGTGATGAGATCATTGATGTCCCAAAGCCACCATGTAAAATTATGGATGGGTGGGAAAATCTGCACGCCTCCATCCTCCCACAGATGTGGGGTCACACCTGTGCTCATGGGGTGGCGGTGTAGGGCACAGGAGGTGTTGCAATGCTTGGGCTCTCCTTCCTCAAAGGCTTTGGTGCTAGTACTGCTTGGGCTTGTCTTTCCTATTGTGCTGCTTGTTTGCTGGTTGCTTTCCACGTGCAGATCTCTAAACCAACCCCTCAGGTTTCATTCCATGGGTTGGCAGGAACCTTTCCTGGGGAGCTGTTGAATGGTTGAACCTTAGCAGCCCTCTGACAACGGGGAAATAACTCCTTGATGAGAAGAGGGCCTGTAACCCAAAGTGTGAAGCCACACAAGCATAGCATGTGTGAAGAGAAATGCAATCCACGTCTTCATTGGCAGGGGGAAGCTATAGCTACCGTTAGAGCCATGGATGTTCCCTTCATGGTGTCTCCTGAGCAGGGAGGGTTGTGCTGCAGGAGTTGAGTCTCTGCAAGGTAGGGGCGTGGGGAAGCTGCTGGGCATGGGATGTGTTGTGCTGCTGGCAGCCACCTGTGGGCTCAGGTGGGGTTGGTGCTGATTGGGATGTTGGTGCCACAGCTGCAATGTTGCCAGCACTGATTTACTGGCTCAGACCTTCTTACCCGCAGCAATGGGGAGGTAGAAGCCATGGTGGAAGTGACCTAAATGGTTTAAACTATGAATCTCCTGGGCTTTGCTAGGGCCAAGTCCCCCAGGTTCACCCTGCAGCCTGAGCTCTGGGGAAGGCAGCTTCACCCTTTGGGTATGGGAGAAGAGAGCTGCCCTGAGCCGGAGAGGATTGGTGGTCACAAACACTTGCAGGGGATGTAAGCAGCTATAAATTAAGCTGTGGGTTCAGTGTTTAGAGCAGCTCACCTGTACCTGACTGCTTCAGTGCAATGCAGCTCTGTGGGCTGCAGAACAGCGAGGGCTCAGAGGACATTGGGACCAAGGTCTCTGAATGTAGTGAAGAACAGCAATGAAACATAGGAGCCTGGGCTCTGAGGGCTGGACATGGGTGTGCATTCCTCTTGTGTTTGGTTTCAAATACACTTAATATAGGAGCATTGCTTCCCCTCAGTGGGACGGGTGTTTCCTAACAGCAATTGGCTCATCTTTACCAGAGGGTTTGAGATGGTCTCTTCTATCCAGGAGAGCATCCAGACTTCCAGTGATCCAAGTGCCTTCAGTGTGGGGAGATCAGATGTCTCAGATCCCAGACAATGGGGGGATAAGGCAGCAGCACAATGCAGCTGCTGGGGGCTCTTCTGTTTGACCTTCCAGTAGAAGGGAAAAGCAACAAAAGGGAGGGTAAGGAAAGCACGGTGCTTTGCCATTTACCGAAGCCAGCCAGAAAGTTATAATGGCATTACAATGGGCAGCCTTGTTCAGAGTGGCTTATTTCATCAGAAAGATGAATTTAAAATAATAAAAGGGGCAAATGCTGGCTAAAGTCCCCACTGTTAGTGTAAACACTGCAGGAAAACCCTTTTATTAGGGACTTAAAGGAGGTAGTAAATACGGTTGGGTTTTGATGAGAACTCTTAACACAGGATTAGGGTTTACGGGGCGTTACCATATTAGCCCCTGGGGACGGAGCTGGGTTTTGTGTGGCTTCGTGTCCTGCTCTGCTTTTAGGGCTTTGTTTTCTCTGCTTTTCCTGCTGGGTTTTCCCTCCTGTGGTGGCAGGCAATGCAGTTGGAGGGCTAAAACCCAAGCCTTGAAGTAAATGTTTGATTCTCTGGGTAGTTATGGAGCTTTCCTGCAGAAATGGAGCTCAGGGTGGGTTTCAAATCGGGACAGGCTCTCTGAAGGCCCTTCTTGCTGTGGTTTTGTTCTTGCTTCTTGCCCCTGGAGCTGTCAGTGGTCTGGTATAGCTGCAGCAGAACTGCCAGTGCTCCCACAGAAGGCATTGCCCAGTGGTGGCTTTCAGTGGAACTCAGTCTAAGACAACCTCTAATGCACTGTGACAGCAGGTTGCTGCGTGGTGCGCGCTACTGCATGGAGGCTTTGGGTTGGGAGAGTGCTGCAGGGAACATTCCTTTGGGATATGTGTTAAATACTGCTTTCTGGCAGGTGGAACTCTTCTGCTCATCTTCCCATGCCGATGAGCTCAGTGCTGGGGTTGGCTCATCCCTGGGTAGGCAGCACCTCTGGGAGGGAGAGGAGCAGCACCTGGGTGCTGCTGACACCAAGAGGCAGCCTGGCTCACTCAGAGCTCCGTGCCCAAATGCCTATTGGTGGGAAATAAGCTCCAGGAATGAAGCTGGCAATGACTTGTCTGTGTTTCCAAGACAAGAAAACACTGCTTGGCTGCTCCTGGGAGCCCCCCAGCAGAGCCTGTGGCTGAGTGCTGGCACCTCAATGAACAGCAGGAAAGCCTGGTGACTATGGGCAGGTTTTGCTTGCAGGGGGGGTTGTTCTCCATCAGCCCTGCTTTGAGGCCAGCTGTGGCTTTGTAACATATGCTTTATTTGGAGCACACGGTGCCAGCATCTCCTCTTTCCTGCATGTGAAGGAGGGCACGGTGCCCCCCTCTGGGGGGACAGTGATGAGCAGGGCTAATTTTGGGATGGAAAAGCAGCCACATTTGGGTTGTGCTGCAGTGCAACCTGCGGGTGTGTGCACTAAGCATCCTGCTCAGACACAGAGGGCATCAAGAGCTGGATGTGGGCACTGGAAATGTTTGGCATACAAGCATTTGATGCAGACACTGAATTTTGCTGTGAGTAGAATTACCTGGAGCTCATCAGCCAAGCTGCAGTGGCATCACAGCTCCCTTGGAAAAAAGGGAACTGGGTGGTGATGGGTGGCCCCAGGTCCTGTGTGTCCCAATGGCAAACATCACATCTGCCCAGCTGGGGGGGAGGGAGGGCTTCCAGTTCAGCAGCCTGGATGGGAAATAATGATCCCTTTTCTATAGCTTCTCCAATTGTTCCCAAAAATCCTTTTTAAAGGGAGGAAAGTTCCTTCCTTCCTTTCAGCTCCCGGTATCTTTAAGAATTCACTCTATTGTGGCCCAGGACAGAGACCCTTCTATGAGGGCTGCATTAGGCACTCTTCAGAGGCCCCCTCCCCTGTGCCCCCCCGCCCCATCCCAACAAACCCCCATTCTCCTCTGAAGAGGGTCCCTCTGTCTAACGCCAAGTAACTCTTAAGGGTAGCATTTATCCCCGGGCACTCAGCACACAAAGAGTGCCGGAGTGTCAAATAAACTCACTCCAGCCTGCAAAGAGAAGAGGAAGAAAATACAAAACCCCCTTTATTTCCACCCCTGCAGGGAAACAAATACGGACTTTGTGCTGGAGAGCAGCAGCGCCCTAACGAAGCGGGGCAGTCCCAGTGTATCCCCATAAAGTGCTGTGCATGCTGCAGTGCTTGGGAGCGTGGAGCCATCAGACAAGTGCTAAATCAAAACCCCTCCTAAGGAGTCCTGTGTGCTGCAGTGACGGCGTTCCAGTGACTTCTGTTTGTTTTTGAGGGAGGATGATGCTGGGTCCCCTGCCAAGGGGCAGTGGGGTCTGCAGACCCACAGAAAGGCTCAGCATAGCTGCTGCTGTGCTCATTTCATCAGGGCATCCTAGCAGTGGGGGAATTCTGCTCCCTGCCCCACTGCAGGGTGCTTGGCCGTGTTGTCCTGCCAAGGAATTGTCCTCTTTCTGTGGCTGGGTTGTTGTTTCTTGTGTGTCAGACCTGCTGCAGGTCACTGCCGTTCCTTCATCCTGACACGTGTTTCTCTGCAGGTTTTGGTACCTGCCGTCGCTGATGGGCAGATGGATGTGATGGCTGTTGGAGTGTCCTTTGTACCTGGAAGAGAGAAGGCACAGTCAGCCTGACCGTGTGTGGGTTTGGGACTTTTTCCCCCCTTGGCCAAGCAAGGAGGATTTACCTTGAGACTTCTTCTGTCTGCTGGGATATCGCACCTGGAGCCCTCATGGACTGCCGTGGGTTTTGGATGCACCCTTCTGCCTGTAGCTGGAAATGCGTGCTGCTGCCAGGTGGCCACAGACACCTGCTCCTCTAAACCTGCTGGATTATTTCTTTTGGCATCACTCAGCCAGCGTGGCAGCTTTTCCTCAGCTCGTGCAACTGCCTTTGGTGTTTGAGATCACCTGACTTGCAGATGTAGAGAGCTGCAGTTGCAGCCCAGCCTGCAGACACCTCTCCTTTTTGGGCTACTATTTCTCAGTGTTGCAGCACTTTGGGAGAAGATCCCGTCCATACACATGTGTGGGAATGTCCTGCTGGTCTGAGGTGAGTCAAGGATTTGATTTCCTTCTTTTCCTTTTTTTTTTTTTTTTTAAGATATTTTTTTTTTTTCCTACATTTTTGGGAAAGGAGGCGAAATCTAGTTACCTACTACTCAGGAGCAGTGGAGTAGATAGAGGTTTGCTTTGGAAAGCTGACATGGCTTTCATCTCCTACTTCAGTTATCTTTTTAGCATTGTCTGAGCCTGAAATCTCGTGCTTTCTTTCTGAGGGTACTGCAGAATAATGGACAAAGCAGTGGGAGTGCAGCATCCTGCAGGCAGGTTTCTCTTCCTTTCCCTGGAAAGGGGGAACCCTGCTGGCTTGCTGTGCTTGTAAGTGTGTCATAGAGGGTGGTGAGAGCTGTGGGGGGGGTGCTGCCACTTGTGGGGCTTATTGGGAACAGTGTGGGGCTCATCTCAAGGGGGGGAGCGAGAGCAGGAAGGTGAGCTGTGAGTGAGTGGGCAGAGGGAGGTGAGCTGTAAGCCTCCTTGAAACAGCAAATCCACTTTGGAGAAGGCAGGGGAATGCTGGAAAACGATGCCAGGCCTTTGGTGTGTGTCTTTATTTTTCCTTTTGGGCGGGTTTGTGTCGGCAGTGACCTCAGCAGGATGCTGAGATGTGCCCAAGGGGCTCTGCAGGAGGAGCTGGGGGTGGGGAATTAACACAGGGATTCTGGTTGTGCTGGTGACTGTTGTGCTGGGGGAGAGAGGCTTCTCCTGCTGTCCTGGAGAGCATTTCCTGGGGCTCTGTGCCCCAAAGCACCTCAGACTCCTGTGCCATCCCTCATGGTCCTTTGCTTGGGCCCTGGTCCAGCCTTCTGTGCTGCCCATTGCCAAGAGGGGAATGCAGTTGTCTTGTTTTGGCTTTCCTCTGAGATCAACCCGCTGATAGAACATAACTTTCATGGTTCCCGTGTGCTTTGGGGAGGATGTTCCCCTTCAATCCCTGTTTACTGCACAGGCTATAAGCCTGCAGGTGCTCTGTTGCTTTGAGCTGAGGTGGATCCCATTTATTTCTGGGTTACGGAGCAGAAATGGCTTTCTTGAGACGATGCTGTGGTTCACCCTGCCTAGACTGCTTTCTGTCACGTGTTTTCCTGTAGTGAGCTTTGGTGTGGGAGAAACAGGGCTGAGAAATGTGATGAACAAAGGGAAAATTGCTGTTGTGACAAGCTTCTTGAAGTACGCTTCTGTTTTGAGTTAGAGCTCATGTGTTGTTGGTATTCAGCCAGGCCAAAAGTCTGATGCAGGCTGGTGAGAGTGTGAGGTCTGTGCTGGTGTCCATTCGGGGCAGTGCAGCTGTGTGTTCTGCAGCAGCTGAGAGGTTTTCTCCACCCGTGTGGATGAAGGGAAGCAGGAGATGTAAGGATGCTGTTCTTCCAGCTGAATGCAAATACAGGAGAGGATGTGGTGCGTCCTCCCCAGAGGCAGCTCTGCCAGCTGGATGCTTTTCAGTATGGATGGAGAAGGCAAATGCAAACCTGAAGAGGCATCTGGCTCATGCGCACGTTGCACTGCACGCACCCAGCTATCTGAGCAGAGCTGGGATGCTCCCAGCTCAGATGTTCCCAATTCCTCTGTTGGCATCTGTCTGGTGCTGTTATGTAGCTCTGTCTCTTCCCAGAGCCTTGTGGTTGTGGCTTTTCCCAATGAGCATCTGAATGTACCAAGCACTTGAGTTAATCTCCTTGCAACGAGTCCTTTGGCTTTCTGTCCCTGAACTACAGGGAGGGGGGATGATATCACGTATTTCCTTTTGTTGGTAGCACAGCAGCTTGAGACCAGAGCTCCTTGGGGTAAGGCAAGGCGGAGACTCCACCCCAAACAAGCGTAATGCAGCTTGGCTCTCTAACAGCTTGTGCAATAAGGGGCCAGGCTGGTACTTCTGCCTTTGTTTTGCTACCTTCAGCTGTTTGAGAGGCGAACTGTAAAGGAGGATCTCCACTATCGGCTTGGCTGCTCTCTCCACTTGTGTAACCAGCGATGCACCAAGCCCTGCTTGCCCCCTGGGGTGTCGCCCTCCTGAGACGCCGCGTGTCTCGATGGCTGTCGGTTCTGTCTGGTATTGCGCTCCCTGGGAACTGCAGGAAGGCTTAACTGGGATCTCCCTACAGAAAGCCTTACCTCCACTTGCAAGCAGTGAAAACTCACAGACGTTAAGTCGCGAAATCCCATCGCTCTCTCCGGTCTGCTACCGACTCCTTGCGGCGGAGATAACTGAGCCTTTCCTCCGTCAGGATCCGTCCCCGGGCGGAGCGGCACAACGGGGTCGATCCGGAGCCGCGCTGCCACCTGGCGGCCGCGTTGGGCAGAGCCGCGCTGTGCCCCCGGCGATGGGCGCTGGTTTGACAAGGGCTGCCGGACCTTCTGCTCAAAGTTAAGGAAAAAAGCCCGAATTCTACAGTTCCTTCCGGCTGAATGGCTCTGAGTGTGGGCTGCTGGGTTCCAGCGTCCTCAGCTGTGCCTCCGTGGTTGTCTGTTGGGGCTGCGAGGACCAAAGTGGGCATCCTCGTGTGTTGTAAGCTGTGGTGTGGCTTCTAGGATGGTCTGGGAGGAATGGAGCATAGAGAATAAGTGGTGTGTGTTTACCTGGAATAATGATCTGTGGGGATCTGTGTAGGTTTAGGTCACCATTGCATTTTGGGTGCTTCAGATAGTGAAAGAGTGGCTGTGGAAAGGATGCTGTGGCTGCAAAATGCAACTGTGACCATGGCGAGGGAAGGGCAGAAAAAGAAATGTGTTTAGAAGTGCACCTTAGAAATCTGTTTTGGATAAAACTGAATCTCTGTTCACAACAAACTCTTCTGCTCCTCTTCCCTTAACAGAAGTCCAAACAAATAAAACAGAAGTTAAGAGTAAGTAACTCTTTCTGATGCTCATCGGTGCTTTGGGTGTGACAGATGGGAGGATTTCTCTTGTTCTCTTCATCAGGTATCTCCTCTTGGCTTTGATTGGGAAGTTTGGTGCTGCTACTGCTGAGGCACAGCTGTTAGCTTTGCAAGGAGCTGCAGATTCAGGTGGTGAATGCCCAGATTCAAGGAGGGGCTGGACATGGGTCCCAGCAGGGCAGTCCCTGCCCTGTGCCCGAGCATCTGGAGAACATCCCTGGAGCAATCTTGGTCCATTCTTTTCCATTTCTGCTTTGAAGAGGTGGGAGCCCTTTGCCCGTGAGGAGCACGGATTGGTGCAAGAGCACAGAGCTGCAGGAGGAGCCTTGCTGTCTTCTGAGATGCTCACTGGCAAAGCAACAAAGAGATGGGTAATTACATGAAAGGGAAAAGAAATACCCTCGAACCTCGTGTCGCCATGCCGGTCTGCTCCCTGCAGATGCCAACGATGCCCTTCTCTCAGCTGCAGAACACCGGGCCGCAGCCCGAGACCTGCCGGGCGATGCGAGCGGGTGCAGAGCAGCGGTGACCGCTAGGAGGCGCTGTGGCCCCGGCCGCCGGGTGGCGCTGCGGTTTCGCCGCTTGGTGGCGCTGTGGTTCCGCCGGTGGCGGACTCCGCTGTCCTCGGGCTCGGAGCCGCGGGGTGGATCGCAGCGCTTTGGGTGTCTGCCCTCCTGCTCCCCGAAGTGCTGCGAAGCTGTTCTGGCAGTCGGGTTTGGATGTGGTTGCAGACAGAAAAGATGTGGCAAACGGCTTGTTGCAGTGCAGGAGAAGAGGGAGGCTGGGTAGGCCTGGGAGCATCGTCGTGCCCCGTGCTGGCTCAGGCACAGTGGCTCCTAGGGAGTGCTGGGCTGGTGGCTGACCCGGTGCTGGGTGGTGCTTTGGACCTGAACTGAATGCCTCACGAGTCTGCAGGTCCCAACATCAAGGTGCAAGGCCCACGTCTCTGCTTCCTTTCCCCAGGTTTTTGTGGCAACCAAATTCACGGGGTATGATGGCAGTGCAGGATGGGGCTGGGGAGCGAGCAGACTTAAGGGGGGCTGTAAGTGTGATCTCTGTGGATCTGGCTTCAGCCAAAACCAATTGATGTGTACAGCTTAATAGATTTGTCTGAAAAGCTTCAGCAGAGCCATTCCTTTGGTGTCCTCTTGAGCATGCACTGAGCAGGCCCCCACCTCCAGCACTCCTGGACTTGGGAGGGTTTGATGTGTTGCTTTCCCCCTGAAAAATACATTAGGAAGGCTGCTGCTCTGCTGTCCCTAACTTCTGTGGCCTGACTTCCTCAGGTGAAGAAGGGCTGGGAGTGCTGACTGGCTCAGCATTTCCACATTGTGCTGTCTGGAAGCGGGTGAATAATTACAGGATAAAGCAGCGTGTTTGGCTGCCTCAAAAAGCACTTCCAGATCAGTTCCAGACTGCTTGGTCGGCACCATTCACATTGAAAGATTTTACTGTCCAGGCTGCCTCCTCCATAGCTGGAGCCAATGGCAGATTCCACTGGAGCTACCAGCCTGGAGCTGGGTTTCCATGGTGAATGCATTTGGATACTGCACTGCTTCCCAAAAACTCTGGGCTTTTTGTGCCATGAGTGTCACAGCTTGCCCATGGTGGCTGCAGGAGGGCTGCCTGGGGGCACGGCTGCTGAGCTGGGATGCTCTAAAAGCCACCAACAGCTGGAAGCTGTACCCTCAAGTCAATGAGTGGCCGCGTCCTGCTCTGCATGGCAGCGATGGGAGCCCTGTGCTGGGCACCCCGTGGCACTCTGCCTTCCATTGCCTTGTGGGGGAACTTATCTAGCTCGCTGTGTTCCCTTGTGTGCTTTCCTAAGGCAAAGGAGGTTCTGAGGTGTTCATCTGGCCCACAAAGACACCTGGGTGTGCTGGGAGCTGTGCGCTGTGGTCCTTTGGCATTCTCTTCTCACTGATATGTTCAGCAAACAAAACCGCCTGCTTTGTATCCTCCTCTGCTTTCCTTCCCCACGCAGAAGGGGGAGGGAGAAAAATGACTAAAATATTTTCTTGCAACAAAAGGCTGAGGGTGAATCTGGATCAGCCGTTTGGATCCATCTGAGGCCAAATCTCCAGGGTTCTCAGCAGAGGAATTAAAACACTGAGGC